CTGGATGTCCTTGAACTCAAGATATAGACCTGGCTGCCCTTGAACTCCTAGAGATCCTCCTGCCCTTGCCTCTCAAAGGCTGGGACTAAAGGTATGTTTGAACACACCTGGCTTGACACCTTTAATTTCTAAATGTCTAAACACAAATATTTCTAACCTTATCAAACCTCAAATATTTTATGTTGTCCTGGTTTCATGATATACTACCGCTAAGGACACACAGTCTAGGTTCAGGTGATAGCTCACCTGAGAACATTTGCCTACAATGCAAAAGACTGTGGGTTTGATCCCCAGCAACTTATAAACCAGTGCACAAATACACACCCAACTGTAAAGCCCCAACCTTTCTTTCTAGCATGCATCTGTTTACCGTGGTATTAAAAATTGAACCTGGGGAATGTTGAGTGCTGTTGGAGTAGGATTCTCTGCTACTATGATGAAAGTGGACCAAACCCAAATTAGGGAGGGATGGTCTAATCTGCCTTACATTTTATGTAGATTATATAGGAAAATTGGATGAGCTCAAAGCGGAAACTGAGGAAGGGTCCATGGATGGAGGACAGATCCTTCCAGGCTTGCTCTCCTCTATAACCAAGGACCGTCTTCCCAGGTTGGCCAACAGTAGTCTGAGGCCTTCCACATGAGACACTCATCAAGAAGATGACCATAGACTTGCCTACAGCGTGCTCCTCCCTTCCTTTTTTCTTTCCTTCTTTTTTCTTCCTTCTTTCCTTCCTTGATGTCGGTGGGTCTATCTATCTGTTGCTTTCGTTGGTTAATTAATAAAAAAAAAAACTGCTTGGCCTGATAGGTCAGAACATAGGTAGGCAGAGTAGACAGAACAGAATGCTGGGAGAAAGAAGCAGAGTGAGAGAGCTGCCTGCCATGAAGCTGCCAGGTCAGACATGCTGAATCTTTCCCAGTAAGCCAAGACCTCGTGGTAAGATACAGATTATTGGAAATGGGATGAATCAATATGTGAGAGTTAGCCAATAAGGGTCTGGAGGTAATGGGCCAGACAGTGTTTAAAAGAATACAGTTTTCATGTAATTATTTCGGGGGTAAGCTAGACGGGATCCGGGCAAGAACGCAGCCGCTGCTCCTTCTACACTTCCTTTTTCTCTTTTGTTTTCTTTCCTCCTCCTCCTATTCTTCCCCTTTTTTATTTTTTGTTTGTTCTTCTTCCTTGTTTGTTTGTTTGTTTATTTGTTTGTTTGTTTTGGAACAGGGTTTCTCTATAACTTTGCTGACTGTCCTGGAACTAGCTCTTGTGGACCAGGCTGGCCTCAAACTCACAGAGATCCACCCACATCTGCCTCCTGAGTGCTGGATTAAAGGCGTGCACCACTACTGCCCAGCTGTTTGTTTTGCAAGACAGAATTTCCTGGTATAGCCCTAGCAGTCCTGGAACTGGTTCTGTGGATCAGGCTGGCCCTGAACTCAGAGGTCAGCCTGCCTCAGGTTCTGTACTAGGATTAGGCATAGGTTTCCATGCCTGCATCAAGGGGATACTTTCTTAATCAAGACTCCCTCTTTGTTTTCTTGTTCGTGTTTTGATTGTTATGCTGAGGCAGAGTTACTCTGTGTAACACCCTTTGTTGTCCTGTAACTTACTCTGGTCTTGAACTGGCAAAGATCTGCCTACCTCAGCCGACTTAATGCAAGAATTTAAGACATGATGCACCAAGCCTAGCTGAGGTTCCCTCTTGTCCAATGACTTTAAAAAAAAAAAACAGCAATGTGCTATGAGATTTGTATAACAGTGATCTGTGTCTAAGCCTTCTCTCTAATTTTGATTTTGAAATGACACGTCACTAAATTGACTTAGCAGATTGAGCTCAGAATCCCATTAGGCCTGGAGTTAGGACATGAGCTGATGAAAGCCTCCCTGAGGACTCCCTTTCATAATACAGGAAGATACATAGATGAACAAATAGGTTAAATATATGACAAAAATTGCTATGAGGGACAAATGGTCTTCCTAGAGACAAGTATTGTAAATGGCTATCCACTATAAAGCTCTAATACAGCACTAAAGGGACTCAAGATTGGATTTATATAGTTCTTTGTAAATATATATATATATATATGTATAAAACAATATCAAATAAAGAAAGAGTACAAACTTGAAACTGATTGGGAAGGTAAGAAAAGGGAAGAATTGGAGAGAAATTATGTAATTACATTTTTATTTAAAAAAGAATCCTGGCTGGGTGGTGGTGGTGCATGCCTTTAATTCCAGCACTTGAGAGAGGGAGATAGGCAGATCTCTGGATGCTTGAGGCCAGCCTGGTCTACGTAGCGAGTTCCAGGACAGACTCAAATGCTACAAGACAAACCCTATCTCAAAAAACAAAATAATAACAACAAAAAAATCGTTGATACCTAGAGCCTCCATTTATAACAGTAGTTTAATACATCTGTGTTCAAACGCCAAAAATATCCGATAATGTGTGCAATTCTTTTTCCATTAAAAACTAATAACCTTTATAGATTGTTTGGTTCTGTTTTTCAAGATTTATTTTATTTCTGTGTATGTATTCGTGTAAGGATATGCTGGCTGTGGGGCTGTGCTGGCAGTGGCCAGCAGAGGGCTTAGCATCTTCTAGAAACAGAATTTACAAGGGCCTGTGAGCTGCCAGACATGGGTGCTGGAAACTAAATTCTGATCCTCGGCAAGACCAGCAAGTGTTCATAACAGGTGAGCCATTTCTCCAGCCTAGACAGTTACTTCACACAAATACTTACCCGGTAGGAGATTGGCTATTTGAACCAGAATTAAATGGAGAGGTAGACATAAAACAATGACTCAGAAAGGCAGCCCTTCAAATGTTATTAGTTGTTATTGGACCCACAGGACCACTGAACTTTGCAACCTTTCTCCTGGATTCTGTAGAGATGATACCTTGCAATGCATACTAATCCAGGTCAGCAAATCATTAGTGCTTATGTCGCCAGATCTCCCGACAAGGAACTCCCAGCTCTGCCCTGGGATTCAGTATAGCATGGTCTCCTGCAGAACTGGGACCTCTTGAATTCACATCTTTCAGATGCAGTTTTCCCCTTTGCTCCCCTCCCCTTGACCCAGCTCTGCAGATCACTTTGGAACTGGGTTGCTGTATCCATCCGCCAAGTCTTTGCTCCTGTGTCAGCTCTCTTCTTGCCTTGAGAAGGTGTTTGAGGTCTAGTAGTATCTTTAGCTCCTAGTGTTCTGAAATGGGACCTCACTTAGCCCAGGCTGAACTCTATCTACATAGCTGATAAGACCTTGAGCTTCAATACTCCTTCCTCCACTTCTGTGCTTAGATTACAGCATGAACAACCACAAGCAGTGTTTTGTGGTGCTGGGCCATGGGATCAGACCCAGAGAACTAGTGATGGATAGGCAAGCACTCCACCAGCTGAGTTATATTCCCAGCTGAGGCAGGAGAATGGCTGGGAGATTGAGAACAAAATAATCTTCAAAGTGAATTTCTTATTATTTTATTTTCTTTATTTAAAGAAACTGTCATTTCTCATTTTACCTATCTATCTCAGTTCGTACTTACCTCCTCCCATTCCCTCCACATCCACCCCTCACCTCCAATCCACTCCTCAGAGAGGGTAAGGCTTCTCATGGGGAGTAAAGAAAGTCTACCACATTGCTTTGAGGAAAGACCAAGGCCCTTCCTGCTATATCTAGGCTGAGCAAGGTCTCCCTCCAAAGAGAATGGGTTCCTAAAAGCCAGTACAAGCAGTAGGGATAAATCTTGGTGCCACTGCCAGTGTCCCTGAAGTCTACCCCAGCCATACAACTGTTACCGACATTCAGAGGGCCTAGTTTGGTCCTATTCTGAGTCCTTCCCTGTCTGGCCAGAGTTCTTGGGTTCCCATTTGCTCAGGTAAGCTGTTTCAGTGGGTGTCCCCATCATGGTCTTGACCTCTTTGCTTGTATTCTCCCTCCTCCCACTCCTTGACTGGACTTGGAGAGCTCAGTCCAGTGCTCCACTCTGGATCTCTACCTCTGTTTAAATCAGTAGCTGGATGAAGGTTCTATGTTGACATTTAAGATGGTCATCAATCTGACCACAGGGCAAGGCCAGTTCTTAGGGGGACACTAGCAAAAGAAGTGAAAGACCTGTTTGACAAGAACGTTAAGTCGTTGAACAAAGAAACTGAAGTCAGGCAACTACACTGATGAATATTTGATGAATATAAAATAAGCACACAAATGAAGTAAAAGTGTGTGATACAAAATTATTTTATGTTTATTTGATTAGGCCCAAATAGAAGAATAATGAGGAGTAAATTTTCAAAACAAAAATGTAGTTCACAATTAAATAGTGTGAATACAGTTATCTGATGTAGTAAGGGCTTCAGGACAGTGGAGGACCTTTGGACCACATCCTGCACACTGACAAACCACTGCCACCTAGCTTTTAGGTTCCTTGAAGCAGTCAGGCTCAACATGGTGGTCCATATCGGTAATCTCAGCAATTAGCAGGTGGAGGCAGAACAAGAGGATTGGGAGATCAAGGCCAGGAGCTGGAGAGATGACTCAGGACTGCAGAGCACTGACTTCTCTTCCAGCAAACTAAATTTGGTTCCTAGCAACCATGCCAGGCAGCTGGTTTAGGGTTTGTCTGCCTCTGGTACTTGCATTAGGAGTCATGTACCTCCTCATCACATAAACATAACAAAAACAATGTAAAGTAAGTTCATTAAGAGTTTAAAAGTAGCAAGTTACATACCAATATTTATTAAGTGACAGAAAAGAGAAAAGTTCTTCCCATGGGTTAAAACTCATCCCATTTGGTCTGCATTGCTCTCCCTACTGCCACTGGACATGCACACAGTGCCTCCTATACTGGTATTCAGGATTAAAAACCTCTATAAATCCCCAAACCTCTGTGATAGAAGGTGTGGGTGTCTGCATTGCTCACTTTAGTTAAATGCTCTGCACAAAGACCTTTATGTAGCCACCCCGAGAGTTCAAGGACCAAAAGCAACTTTCCCCCTCTTTACTGCAAGCAAGAACAAAGTCTGGCCTCCTGGTCATACACACAGCATTGAAAACATCTACCGCAGATATATGTAGCAAAGCTTATCCTCTTGGGCTGCCTTATGGCCCTGAGCGTATCCATGAGCTGAGAACAAAGCTGAGAAAATGTGTCTCTGGAGACGTGACCCCACCTGTCATAGCACTCCCGAGGGGCAGGGTACCGCTCCATGGTCATCTTGTTCATGTTGGCTGTGTGGTGGAGAAGGTCACTCAAGAGATTCATGGAGAAGTCGTTGGCATAGAAATTGACCTTGGTGAGCTGGGAGCATTGACTGAGGGCAGGTAGGAGTTCACGGAACTGAGAGTCCTTTATCCTACACCCCTGCAATTCCAGAGTCTCAAGACGGTCTGCTCCCATCTCTAGGAGAACACTGAGAGGCAGAATACACACATTGCACAGCAGGACTCCACTCATGTCCAGATGTTTTAGTCCATGAAGGCTTGGACACAGCGCAAAGTCTTTCAAGTGTGAATGAAACACGTGACAGTGAGTGATGGAGAAGGTTTCCAAGGGAGTCTTCAGGTTCCTAGGCAGAGACCACCAGGTTAGTTCTGATAAATGATCCTCGAGAGTGTGTAGTGTTTTTACACAACAGCAGAAGGGACATGTATCCCGATGTCACACTGATGGAAGGAAACATCTATGGTGCTGCCTGTTGGGTTCTGCTCACTCAAGGCACACCCATAGCTGTCACCATCACTGTGGGATGGCTCAGGGCATAGCTCTGCAGCTCCTGTCTTCACTGACACCAAGAATCCCTGTGCAGGCTAGTATACCCTAGGGCACATAAGGTAAGGACCAACCCATGAAAGACCTGAGAACATTTCAGGTGGTTCTCACTGCCCTCTAACTTTTTCCCCACCTCTGGGGGAATACACGGTCTCCACCCCGACACTGACCCAAAATCCCACTGTCAGCCATTTCCCATCAGCGCAGTCCCTACTTGTTCAAATCATTTCCTACATGGGATATTAGGGACATGGTGGTTTCTGTCCACACAGTCTGAGCACAGACCACTGGGGAAAGATGCAGGTATTCATTTCCTCTACTCTTTCGGTTCCCTTCTTCCTCTGTGCACTTCCCATTAGCTTGGCCAGGATTCTAAGGGAGAAAGTACAACATTCTCACTGAACCTGACGCTCACAACTGCTTTTGTGCCATACTATGCACACATTTCCTAACTCAAACCAGGCCTCTGCTTCGTGTGTGGTCATGAGAGACCTTGATTCAATGACATAGGAACATGACCGTGCTTAGATATTCCAATGTCTCCTTCACTATTCTGCAAGGTCTGGCAGATAGCAGGCCCACTACTCTTTGACATAAAACGTAAAGTTGGTCTGGTAGCAGGAACAGCTCTCCATCCATCCTTACCTGAGCAAGAGTTTCATGTGCTCACTGAAGAAACTGAAGCCACACAGATAAAGATGCTGGAGACTGCTGATTCTGGAAAACTGAGAAACGAACTTTTGAACAAACTTCTTCTCATCTGAGCGTGGTGGTGGACAGCAACTACTAAGTCTGTCCATGTTGAAATTCACTAGAGAAAGTGTGTGAAGGTTTCTCATCTCCCTGAGATAGGTAGAAAATTGTGCCAGAGTGCACCAACTCCAATCTATGTTCAGCTCCAACACCTTGATGTGCTCTGGCTTGAAAGCACTCAGAACCATCCTGACTTTATCTAGGGACAGCAACACAATCTTCATGTTGTCACAGCAGATTTGCAGGGAGTCTTTTCTCTGCTGGGCCCACTGTAAGAAGTACATTTCTTCTTCCTTCAGTTGGGATCTGAAGTAGAGGTCAACTCTCACCTTCATTCGTGGCCTCAGCTCACGTCTGGAACGACGCTTCCCTGCTTGCTTGTCACTCCCAGTCTCTGCTGAGCAGTTCCCATCCTCTGTTCCAGCCTGGATGGGCCAGAACTCGCGGGGCATCCTCCGAAAATCGAGTACTCGAAGTTTCCCCCTCCTGTGAGTAAAACAGGTGCAGTGTCATGACAAGAGAAGGCCGGACAGACATTCAGCTCCCATCTGGATTTTGGAGTGTTTGCTTTTTTCCCCGGTACTCAGTGTCCAACAAAGTCCTCATGGTCCCAGGCAATGGCTCTTTCTGAGCTGCATCCATAGCTCTGTCTCACTTCCCTCCATTCAGTTTCTCTAGACCTGATACTACTAGTGCCCATGTGGAGACAGGGACAGGCTCCTTCCACTGTGCCCACATCTTCTCTATTCCTCCCCACACCCAACGGTCCTTCTCCATCAGAGCTCAACAGCAGTCAAGGCTTCTGCGGTCTTCCAAGCTGATGCTAACCAAGGCCTGATCTACCTCTGTCTTCATTCTCTCAACCCTTGACATCTTTCCACGTACCCCAGAATCTTTCATTTGACCCTACATGGGTCTTACTTACATGGGGCAAACCTGTTGAGTCAGCAGGACATCCAGTCCTTCCAGCACAGCATGAAAAATCTCTGAGTTGAAGGTGTTCATCAGGGCGCCCACAGGGAGGTAGGGGAAAGGCCAGGCTGCCACCATTGCCTTCACAATCCTAGTGCATCTGCTACTGAAGGCCTCCTTGAACAGTGCTGGGAAGAGCATCTTGGACAGGTTTTCCAGAGCAGAGATGGCCAAAGCCTCATTTTTCAGCAGAACTTGCCTTGACAGCTCCTCCAGTGTGGGTGGGGTCCAGATGTCCATTCTGTTAGAAGCTGGAGAGACTTCCAAGAAAGACATCCAGAAAATGTTAACTCATTCAAACATAATAAATATCCAGGGAGTGATACTGAAGAACACCTAACACACACACACACACACACACACACATACACACACATACACACACACACAGAAAACAGAGTCAGGCAGTTTTCTGTGAATTCTACCAGAAAAGGTCACTGTTCAAGGTCATCTGAGATGTGTATAGAGTTTGTAGCCTTGGTTATAAAAGTCCATGTTTTTATTATTATTGTAGTTGTTTGACACAAGGACGTTCTATTCCTGGTTTCGCTGGAACTCACTGTGTAGACTATTCTGGCCTAAAACTCAGAGAAATCTGCCTGCCTCTGCCTCCCTAGTACAGGGAATAAAGGTGTGCCACCACACCGGACAGCGGGTTTCACTTTTTCAAACTGGATACTGTACAGGCGTGGTGACCCACGCCTTTAATCCCAGTACTTGGGAGACAGACACAGGCAGATTTCTCTGAGTTCAAGGCCTGCCTGCTCTATTTAGTGAATTCCAGGATATCTAGAGCTGTTACATAGAGAAGCCCTGTCTTGAAAAATCAAAAAGAAACAAAAAGTAAAAGTAGCCAAAGAAACACACCAGCCAGAAACTGAAATGAACTGAACAACAGCAATAGAACATTACAAGATGTTTGATTAAGAGCCCACAATTTCAGCAACTGGGAACTGAGGCTGGGTTTCTACCTACCCTGAGCTACTCAACCACTTCTGGGACAATTTAGGCAACACGGCAAAATCTGGTCTCAAAAATTAAAAAATTACAATGAAAAAGAAGAAAAGTAGTATTTAAGACCAAGGCAAAGCTGTATTTGGAGTCAAAACCAGTCTCCAGTATCCTCATCTAGACAGAAATTAAACTCCCTGTGCCATCTTGTGTCTAATCTGGAGAGTGGCTGGGCTGCATAGATGTGGTGTCCCGATGGACAGGGCTGACTTACCAGAGGTGGATCCTGGAGACCCCGTTCCTTCTTCCAGAGGGCAGGCAGTGGCTCTGGGATCTCAAACCTTGGTGTCTTCACTTGCTCCTCTGAAGCTTTATGGCACCTTCCCCTTATCTCCACCCCTTGCAGTTGGACCCACCCACAAGCTCTATTTGATTGGATGTTTGAGGCAAACTGTACATCCCAGCAGGAACCTGATGAGGAAAGAGACAGAGAAAGTCAGGAACCTGATGAAGAAGGAGACAGAGGAAGTCAAGAACCTGATGAGGAAGGAGACAGAGGAAGTCAGGAACCTGATGAGGAAGGAGACAGAGGAAGTCAGGAACCTGATGAAGAAGGAGACAGAGAGAAAGCCAGGCTGTCTTTAGATTCAGAGTCCACAGTGGAGGTCTTCAAGCTCCATGGAAAGACGTGGGCGGGGTCTTTTCTAGTTCCATCCATTTCCTGTACATTTTGGGATCTCGATTTCTTTGTCTGCATAGTATCTCTTAATGTACACCTGCTATCTTTTCACTATGCACTTGTTGGATGAAGGGTATTTAAGTTGTTTCCCTTGAGCATATTCCAGACATTTTCATCCAGAATTTCAAAGCTGTGGGTGTGCCCTTTTTAATCAAGGCACGGATAATTTCCTTTGAGGTCCAGGGACTGTTAGTGGCGTTGGTCCCAGGGTGTGTCATGATGCAGTGTTCAGGTTCTTTGTGAACTGCACAAAAGCAATTAAGAAAGACACATGTTAACAGAGTATTAGGGTGGCCTTTTACCAATGAGACTAAGAACATCTAAGAACATTGCAGAAAGTTGATAAAAAAGTCTCAGGAGGAGTCTGAGGGCCATTTTATTATAATTTCACAGGAAAACCACAGAGCAGACAAACTGTAAATCTCCACAGGGATTGGAATTGGGGTGATAGAGACAAAGGTAGGAAGCCGAGCATTCTGATCTAGAGACAGCGTTGGAGGTCTACACGCACTATAGACATGGGGTGGTGGGGTCCTCAGAAAACCTCCAGGCAACTAAGGAATGTCGAGAGCATCAGAAATTACCTCCCTAGGAAAGAGCTAATCACAACTAAGTGGAAAGCCCTGAAAGCGTATGTCCAAGCAACAGTACACAGATGAAGCAAAATGTGTGCATTTATATTAATGTCCATATCCATATATGCATGCTGCAAACAATAATGAAAAGAGAGGCCATGAATTTGAAACAGTAAGGAAGAATATTTGTGAGTGTTTGGAGGGAAGAAAGGGGAGAGTGCATGTTTATATTGTGATCTCAAAAAATAAACAAAGTACTTTTTAAAAAAGGTTCAAAACTGCTTCTTTCCCTGGACAATGCCCTCATCAGAGTATAAATTTCCACACCAAGATGCAGACCGGTATGCTTGTCCCAGGAACACAGAGCTATCATCTGCACCTCCACATGGTGTGCACACTGACTGGATCATTTTGGGCCTCCAGAGCTCCTTAGGAATTGATTGAAGCCAGAGACCAATTAGATTATTTACCTCAACAGTTCCATTCCTGCCAGACATAGATAGACCCATCAAGAAATTTTGAGACAAGGATTCCATCAGATTGCACAACCGTCCATAAAATGTGACTGGAACCTAAGACTGTAAATGTATCCACCCTTCCCTGTGCCACAAAAGCACGCCTGCGACTCATTTTCTCTATCTCATCCACTACAGAAGACTCTTGCAGGTACAACCTGTCTTGGTGCTCACTCTTTTTTTTTATGCTTTTTCAAGACAAGGTTTATTTGTAACTTTTAAGCCCATCCTAGAACTAGGCTCTTGTAGACCAGACTGGCCTCAAACTCACAGGGACCTGCCTGCCTCTGCCTCCTGAGTGCTGGGATTAAATGCATGCACCACCACCGCCTAGCGCTGCTCACTTCTTAAAGCACCACCCAAGTCCAAGAACCCACTCATTTTTCCCAGTCCTAGCTCAAGCCCTAGACCAGCAAGGCCCTCATACTTCTCTAATGCTCCTGTAACCATGATTTCTCCTGCTCTGTTTTCTACAGCACATGCTATTCACCAATGTGTCATGGAAGGGAAGCAGCAGACTGACTCCACGTACGGCCTCTAACACACAGGCATCTTTGTGAGCCAAAAGTGAGAGCTCTGATCTAAGCAGTTCTGTGACCATAGTCCCTTTGAGGAAGGTCTTGTGGTCATCTGGATACAACCTGTTTTAAGTCCTGACGGTGAAAGACTCTAAATGTATTTCTGAAGCCTCTTAGCATTACACAGTCACTCACACATGAATGCTGGACTTTCCATCTCCCTGTGTTCTTGTAGATGTTCTCCAAACATAACTCTATGGAGGCAAGACAAACCACAAAGGTTGACTCGGTTCCTGATGTATTGATTTAAGTCACTGGAACAAGGTCAGGGTGACCCACTGATGTGCCCCTTTACCTCACCCGATCACACAGCTATTCTCCTGCCCTGGCACAGACCAATCACTGCTAGTAGCCCCTTGAATAAGCCAATCCAATTAGATGGAAAACAACCCTCAGACTCCCCCCTTGTTTCTATGGCTTTTTTTTTGCTTTAAAAGATGGACTATACCAGCTATCGATGTCCTTCATATCCCGAACCTGAAGGGCCCTGTCATGACAGAATAAAAATCCTCTTGCTTTTTCATCAACTTTAGTTGTGTGAGTGGTGTCTGGAGCAACTCCTCCCTGGAGCTTGGACTCCTGAGTCCAACAGTGGGGCTGACAGAAGGAAAGAGATCCAAAATAGACTAAATAATCTAAGAAGAGACAGGCAAATGTACCCTGTTGTGGAAGTTATTGATCCACAAGGATAGAGGATCAGGCAGCATAACCCTCTGGCCTTTAAGGACATTAAGAAACTAAAAGAAGCAGTTACGGCCTATGGAATTCATGGCCCCTTCACTGTGGCTTTAATGGAAGCCTTTGCGGAACTCAACCTTACACCCAGTGACTGGATGCAGCTTTGCAGGGCTTGTCTTTCAAGGGGAGATTATTTGTTATGGAGAGGCAAAATAAAGGAAAATTGCAAAAATACTGCACTGTGTAATGCCACTGCGGGTTTCCCCCAGCATAACTTTGACATGTTAACTGGTGCAGGACAGTATGCTGGTTTAGCAGCACAGATTGCTTATGACCCTGCTGTTAATGCTCAGATAGCTGCTGTGACTGTTAATGCATGGAAAGCTTTACCTAACAAAGGAGCAGGGTTAGAGCAATGGGCCCTACAGTATAACGTGTTCTAGAGAACAGCACCCTACACTGTAAAACACTACCATCAGATCCATTTCTAGAACCTCTAGCGTGGACGTCGTCTCCATTCCCTGGATTAGCGACACTGATAAAGATACCCTACCTAAGAGCTTCTAAGTCTTCCTGGATAGATTCAGCATACTGCTCACAGAAAATTCACCCTAGCAGAACTCTAACCTGAAGAAGTGATCGGCCCATTCTGGAACCTCCAGCATGTGATGTTCTTTTCTTACCTCCTGCTAGAGTTTCTGATGAAGATACCTCAGCTAGAGAGCTCCTATGTCAACTCGGAAGGGCTTGCCGTGCCGCTCACACAGAGGTCACCCTAGCAGAACACTAACCTGGAGCTGGAGTCACCCTGTTCTCAAACCTGTATCTTGTGATACATACACTATCATTCTTGGTAATTGTTCCCATTTCCTTATCTCTAAAGATAATATTGATTTTATCTGAAAGTGTGATGATCTGGCTAGTCTTGCTCCTCATGGAATCTGATATAGCTTTTATTTATTCTGTCCAAACACTTGATTATCTGAAATGCCTGAAATGGCTTGTCTTTCTAAGTCAAAGAGAAATACTAGTGCATTGATAGGATCATTAGCAGCTGTGTTCGAGAACATTCTTCATATGTATATGTCAAACAGAGGGCAACACGGAATCATGCACCACAGACTACACAGATGTCGACTATTCATTATTTATTTATTTATTATTCTGTTTTGGGTTTATAGCCTGAGACTTGAAGAGGTTATTT